AAACTGCTAGAATTAACAAATGAATTCAGTAAAGTTGCAAGATACAAAATCAACACATAAAAATCTATTGTGTTTCTTTACACTAATTATGACCTATAAGAAATTAAGAAAATCCTAATTGTAATTGCATTAAAAAGCATAAAATACTTAGGAATAAATTTAACCAAGGATGTAAATGAACTGTATATTGAAAACTACAAGTTATTGATGAAATAAATTGAAGACAATGCAAATAAATGAAAAGATATTCCATATCCATGGATTAGAAGATTGATATTATTAAAATGTCTATACTACTCCAAGCAGTACACAAATTCAGTGGACTCTCTATCAAAATTCCAATAGCATTTTTCACAGAAATAGAATAATCCTAAAATTTGTATGTAGCTACAAAAGATGCCGAATAGCCAGAGCAGTCTTGAGAAAGAAAAACAAAGCTGGAGGTATCCACATTCCCTAATTTCAAACTATACTACAAAGCTGTAGCAATTAAAACAGTATTGTATTGACATGAAAAATAGACACACAGATTAATGAAACAGAATAGAGAGCCCAGAAATAAACCCATGCATATATGGTCAATTAATTTATGGCAGAGGAGCCAAGAATATACAATTGAGAAAGGACAGTCTCTTCAATAGTGTTGGGAAAATTGGACAGTCACTAGCAAAAGAATGAAACTGGACCACTCTCTTATACCATACACAAAAATTAACACAAAATGGATTAAAGACTTAAGTGTAAGACCTGAAACCATAAACCTCCTAGAAGAAAACAGGTGGTAAACTCCTTGACATAGGTCTTGGTGATGATTTTTTGAATCTGACATCAAAAGCAAAAATAAACAAGTGGGACTGTATCAAACTAAAAAGCTTCTGCACAGCAAAGGAAACCATCAATAAAATGAAAAAATAACCTACCAAATTGGAGAAAGCAATTGCAAATCATATATCTAATAACTCTAATATCCAAAATATACAAAAACTTATACAAATCAATAGCAAAAAAACAAAAACAAAACAAAACGAAACAAAAAAAAAATCCAGTTAAAAAATGGGCAGAAGACTTGAATAGACGTTTTTCCAAGACTTAGAGAGGGCCAATAAACACATGAAAAGATGCTCAACATTCTCCCAATCTCATTTTGATTTACCTTTTCCATTGTTAACAAACATGAAAGCTCCCTCTATGAATTTTAGGTAAAGAATTTTGTCTTTAGCTACTTCTTTAAGTATAGAAGTAACTATGCAAGTAACTTTGAAGTAACTTTTATAAATTATACATAACATTCCCTTTCTCTGGTACATAAAACTCTTTAACTGCTGCTAAAAAGGGATTTTTCAAACAAATAACTTTCAGTCAAATAGATTAATAATTTAGGTTACAAGTCAGACCTCTAGCAGACCACGCATACATAGATTTCTTTCTTGTACTCTTTTCATCTGGAATAAGATCTCTTACAGAAATGTCAAAAAGTATTTTTGGATTCCCACATAATATTAATAATGGTTTTCCTTTTAGTATCCTTTGATTAAGGCATTGTGAAATGATAACATCTTAATATAATTTAGTAGTACTTCTAAATAAATTTTCATTTTATTAATCACAATTCCACATATATGAATTTTATAAATAGTTTATTGCTTAATGAGATAAAAATCATTTGGAGTTTAGATAGGTATGAGAACACTTGCAGTTACTCCTTGACCAGTTCATGGCATTTGTTATTACATTAGCATGATACGCTCTAGCTCCATCCTTATTGCTGCAAATGTGCAAGATCTCATTTTTTTTTGATGGCTGAGTAATATTACACTGTGTGTATATATATATATGTATATATATATACATATATATATATATATACACCACATCTTCTTTATCCATTCATCTATCATCGGACACTTGGTTTGCTTTCATATCTTGGCTATTGTAAATAATCCTGCAATAAACTTAGGGGTACATATATCTTTTCAAATTAGAGTTTTCATTTTCTTTGAGTAGATACCTAGTAGTGGAATTTCTTCTGATTGGTTTATAATTTATTAAAATTCAGACAAAATTTCACTATGCATTATTCACCAGTGAAGTAATTTTATTTGAAGAATATGTTAAGATAATGCCACAATATTTGTCTAAAGAAATATTAATTGCTCAGATTTCGTTTTTTAAAAAGATTTTGTTTATTTGTTTAGAGAGAGAGAGTGTGTGTGAGTGGGGGTTGGGGTAGAGGGAGAGGGAGAGAGAGAAAATCAGCAGACTCCATTCTGAGGGCAGAGCCTGAGGCAGGTCTCAATTTCACACCCCAAGATCACGACCTCAGCCGAAATCAAGAGTCGCCACTTAACCGACTGAGCCACCCAGGTGCCCCATGATTTCCTATTTTAGGATAAAAAAAACAAATGCGCATTTCCTATTTTAATATGATTTCCTAAAGAGAAGGCATACAGTGATGTTCACATTCTCCTCCTCCATAACTCATCTCCATTTCTATTCTTTCATCTTCGAAATGATAAAAACTGTAATAGAATTGACTATCATGGTTTCTAACTTAATATCAGGGATTATAAATACCTCCTTTCTCCCCCCCAAAAAATCTATAATGTCATATCATTCCTTTTAAAAGGCAATCCCTTCTCTGTTTCTTTGGTCTCCTCCTTGGACACTCCAACATTTCTTTCTCACAAAGTTTTCTATATTTTCAGCATGACCTCCATCTGCATGATACTGGCTTATCTTTCCTTTTACAAAACTCTCAAGTGCATTGTGCTGTGTCATGGTTATCAATTTTGCGTTTCTTGGCCTTTATCTAACCTAACTCAGTATTTTCATACCAAAGTCATTATCTTTTCTAAGTCTCTTCTTCCCATCTTTCATGGGTACTTTCCTAGTAATCTGTTTTTCAGAAAATTGTCTCAACCTTTTCCTTCTTCCTTCAGTCAATAACCAAGTCTTTTAAAAATGTTCTCTTCAAAATCCTTTTTATATCAGTTCTGTCCTTCTTTTCCTCATGCTTTGTTTCTGCAACTACTATTTTTTTTTAAAGATTTTATTTATTTATTTGACAGAGAGAGAGATAGCGAGAGCAGGAACACAAGCAGGGGGAGTGGGAGAGGGAGAAGCAGGCTTCTCACCGAGCCGCGAGCCCGATGCGGGGCTCGATCCCAGAACCCTGGGATCATGACCTGAGCTGAAGGCAGATGCTTAATGACTGAGCCACCCAGGGGCCTCTGCAACTACTATTTTTTTCCTTTCTTTGTCTCTTTTGTACATCCCTACCAAAGTAATGTTATTCAACATTCTTTTGCTAATTTCATTTCTCTTCCCTCAGTTTACAGTTCCTTAATATTTTTTTACCAATCATGGTAAATTCATTATAATGCTTTTAGGACCTTCTATAATCTGACATTATTCTCCATTTTCTCATGAAGTTTCTAATATATCAGAAAATATTCAGGCATACTACTAAGTTTGATACATTCTGTGTTATTGAGGAATGTGAAATGCTATGGAAACACGGAAAATGGTGTGTCAATATAGTCTATCTCAAGGAATTAAGTAAGGCTTGTTTTTGATTGATAGGTTGGCACATAACATTTGATTAAGAATAGAAAAATTGACTTGGAAATATAATTTGCCAAATTAATGCCCATAGGTATAATTAACTGTAGTTTCAATCGATAACGATAGGACTTTGGATTTTTATGTTATTTTCCACTTCCAGGTTAGAAACCTTAAGACCTATACTAACTTTTTAAAAATATAATCCTATTAATTAGTTCTTAGTTTTCCTCAGGACTAAGGATAGTTAGTGTGATAGCAGATTAGATGTTTATCAAATCTTTATATTCTAAGTAATATTGTTTCCATCTGCTAGAAACCTTTCTTAGAGAATCCTTTAACTCTTGAATACTTACAAAAATACAAGCCAACAAACGCTATACCTTTCAGGAGCCACTGAATGCAACTGATGGAATATATTTTTCAATGTTTTAACTGATTATTAATACTAATATAGGACCTGCCATATTCCCAAGGCAAGAGAAAAGAGAGCAAGTGTATCTGTATTAGGATAACATATTCATTAATTCTTAGTGGTGGTCAAATCTGAGAATAAAAAAGTGCACTTGGCCCCATATGTGAATTGGACTCACAGAGTCAAGGCACACCTGTTTCCTGCATGGCTGAAAGTGAGTCTCCCTTAACATCATATAAGACTTTTTCTGACCCAGTGTGTTATTGGTAGTCAGTGCCAGTGGGTCATATTTGCCCATCCCCTCTTCTGAAAATATAAAGGAAGGAAGGAAGAGACAAAAGGGAAAGGCTGGGAGTGTGGCAAGTGTAAAGAAAAAGAGGGATATAAATTAATGCAATTTTCCTTTAGGATCTTACAATTATTTGACTTAAATTGATATATAACTAGTTAGCTTTCCATAAATGGTTAATATTACATATAGCAGAATATTATTCTTTCCTTGAAAAGCTGAAATCGTTTGTTTCCCTGAAATAATCAGGGATGCTCTGTCTTTATCTTTTCTATTAGATTTTGTTTTTTAATTATGAGGCTTATCAGAAAATTGCTTTATATGTTCTATTCTTGCTCAGGTATAATTCTTGATGGGGTAAAATTCAGTTCTATAACTGTCTAAAATAAAGCTGAAAAATGGCATAACTAATTAGAGAGCTTTATGGCTTTCTCTGAGATACTACAAAATAGTTTTAGACATCTATAGTATTTAAACCAGATCTAAATTGTGTTTTTAAACCTTGGTTTAAATTTCTGTTTACTTTTAAATATTAAATATTTACAAACATCTCCAACTACATTCACTAATCCTAACATAAAAGGTATGTCAGTATTGTTTTTTCTACTCTTTGAGCTTGAAAGAGACCTGAGGAGCACTGAAACTTACTGGAGAGTGATATTGTCAAAAAGTATTGTTTGCAGAACATTTCACAGGGGTAAAAAGCAATTTTAACTCCCATTTCTGTTTCTGTAGGTATCTTCTCGGTACTCAGCTTGGCCTCCGAGTGTACAACCCTTGCTGCTGAACTTCCCAAAGTATCCTATGTGAAGGCTCTTGATGTATGGCTCATTGCTTGTCTTCTTTTTGGGTTTGCTTCACTGGTGGAGTATGCTGTCGTCCAGGTGATGTTGAATAACCCCAAAAGAGTTGAAGCAGAAAAAGCCAGAATTGCTAAGGCTGAGCAAGCAGATGGGAAAGGTGGAAATGCTGCTAAAAAGAATACTGTGAATGGTACAGGGACTCCTGTTCACATTAGCACTTTGCAGGTAAGAATAAAACTATACAGGGAAATTATTTCCCCCATCCTTTCTGCAGTATCAGGAGAAAGATAATTTTCTGTGTGTGTGAAGTTTTGATAGAATTGGTGTTCTGTCATTTTTCTTTCACAGAGGAAAAGGAACTGTACACAGCATACATTTTTGGGAAAGAAATAAAAAAACACTTAGGTTAAATACTAATTAAGAAAAAGAAATCAACAGCTTATCAAATTTCTAGAAGACTTTCCATGGAGTTTCATGGTACATTTCTGCTTTGATGGCTACCATTGAATGTGGAGATCTTGCCAAAGTATAGACATTCCTCCTGTTCCTCACTTGATAAGCCATCACTGAGAGGCCAGAGGACTGCCGGGAGCACTGATCTTCTGTCATCACTGAAGACCTTAGGGGAGCCCATGCTCTTGATAAAACCCCCTACTGTCCCCCACCGAGTTAGAGAGCTACACAGAGAATATGTCAGGCAGGCTACTTATTTATCGGATGCCTGGCTCCTAGAGAAACTATACCCAGAGTCTGGGATCTGTCCAGCCCAGTGGTGAGTGCTTACAGAATTGGACCTTGCTTTATCACTCGATCATAGATCTAAGAATAATAGGCAGTGCCTTTAGATTCTGATAAATTCTGGGGCAAGGGTCTATTTCATGGATTATGAATCGCCTCCTCTGCCTATATTATGGCCCGATGTTAATGGGGCCATTAGTCTATTTGTTAATTACCACCATATCCCTTACCTAGGATGTTAGACAAGTATGCCACATACACATTTTTAAATGCAAAAGCAGGCAAACTGTTTTTATGTGGTGCTGCCTGAAGCTCGATTTTTTAGAAAAATTAAAAAAATTTTTTTTGTTCTGGTTAAGTCATTAAATTCATTTTCTGCATCTACAGCCAAGACTCTCTGCAATGTTAGTTGCTACTTTGTGGGAAGGCTTTTCAGGCCTTATAAATCGTTATACCCTAAATCCCTTTATGAAGAATAAGTATACAATTTTCATTAATACAGAGCTATCATGACCTTAGGGAGGTCATATATTTGGCATGTCTTTTTCCATCCTTTTCCATCCAGCATGTTTATATCATTATATTTGAAGTGAGTTTCTTGTAGACAACATATATTGTTGATTTATGACTTTTAATCTGCTCCACCATTCTCATGTTTTAATTGGTATATTTAGATCATTTAACTTTAATATAAGTATTGGTATATTAGGGCTTCAGTCTATTGTTTTATGTTTGTTTTCTGTTTCATTTTCTTATCTCCCTCTTTTCTGTTTCTTGCTTTCATGAAGGTTACTTATTTTATAGAATGACATTTTGAGTTTTTTATATTGTTTTTAAGTGTATCTCTTTGTCTGTCTTGTTTATTGGTTGTTCTAGGTACTAATTACATGTACATAACTTATCACGGTCTACTGGTGTCATTATTTTGCCAGTTTGTGTGATGTGTAGAAACATTACATTCTTTAACATTCCTTTACCTTTCTGTTTATGATAGAATTGTAAATATTTCTTAGAACCTAATTAGAAAGTGTTATACTTTTTGTTTCACTATCAAACATAGTTTAGAAAACTGAGAGAGAGAAGGAAAGCTTATTGTATTTATATATCTTTTTGCTTACCATGTTCTTGCTTTTTTTCTGATATGTCTTCCGTTGTTTACTTTTAGATAATTTCCATTATCCGTTACTTTGGGTGGTGCTGCTGGTAACAAATTTTTCTAGTTTTCCTTCATCTGAGGAAGTCTTGATTTCCCCTTCATTTCTGAAGGATAATTTCACTAGGTATAGGATTCTGGGTTGACAGTTCCTTTAGCACATAAAAAACATTGTGCTACCTCCTTCTGGCCTCTGTAGCCTCTGATGAGAACCTCACTTAATTCATATGGTTTTTCCCCTGAGGGTAAACTGTCATTTTTCTCTGGCCACCTTTAAGACTTCTTTTGGTCTTTATTATTCAGAAGTTAAATTCTATGTTTTGGTGTGGATTTCTTTGCGTTTATCCTGTTTGGGATTTGTTCAGCTTGTTTAAAAATGTAGACTTAAAGGGGCGCCTGGGTGGCTGTGTGGGTTAAACGTCTGCTTTCAGCTCAGGTCATGATCCCGGGATCCTGGGATCGAGTCCCACCTCGGGCTCTCTGCTCAGCAAGGGACCTGCTTCTCCTTCTGCCCCTCCCCTGATCATGCACTCACTTGCACGTGTGTGCTCTCTCTCTCAAGTAAATAAACAAAATCTTAAAAAAAATTTTTTTTTAATTTTTTTAAATGTAGGCTTATGTTTCTTGGCAAATTTGGAGAGTTTTCAGCTATTATTTTCTCTAGTACCTTTTCAGATCTGCTTTCTTTCTCCCATCTTTCTGAGTCTCTGATGACACAACTGTTAGATCCTTTGTTATAGTCCCACAGATTCCTAAGGCTTTTCAATTTTTCTAGTTGATTTTCTCTGTTTTGTTGAGACTGGATAATTTCTTTGGTTATGTGTTCTAATTCACTGATTCTTTCCTCTGCCCCTTCCATTTTTCTGTTGAGCTCACCCACTGAGATTTATATTTTGCTTAATGTATTTTTCAGTTTTAAACTTTCCATTTGGTCTGTCTTCTTTCTTTCTTTCTTTCTTTCTTTCTTTCTTTCTTTCTTTCTTTCTTTCTTTCTTTCTTTCCTTCCTTCCTTCCTTCCTTCCTTCCTCCCTCCCTCCCTCCCTCTCTCACACTCTCCTTCCTTCCCTTTTCAAGATTTTGTATTTCTTTGCTCAGGCTTTCTATTTTTCAAAGGTTTCAAACAAATGTTCATAATACCTGATTGAAACACTTTTATCATCCGTGTTATAAAATATTTCTCAGATAATTCTAATACATTTTTCATCTTGGTGTTGGTATCTACTGATAGTATTTTTTAAAAATTCATTTTGAGATCTTCTCTAGTCCTTTGTATGATGAGTGATTTCTACTGAAACCTGAACATTTTCATATTATTTTATGAGACTCTGAATCTTGTTTAAACTTTCCTTTCGTGTTTTAGCTGGCTTGCTCTGACTGTGTCCCAGGAGAAGGAAGGGTGATGCATCAGTACTTCCAAAAGTAGAAGTCCAGTTCCTCACACAGTGAGGGTGGGGTCTCTTCATTATTGCAGGGTGGGATTGGGAGTTTTTAATACCCCATGTGATCTTCACTGATAACTACAGGGGGCATGCCCTTGTTACCACTTTGTGGTGATAAAAGTCCTGCCTGTCTGCTAGGCCTCCTATGACATCATCCCCAGTGTATAAGAGGGGAAGCAGTTTGTTTCTGCTAGGTGGGGGTGAAAGACGTATAACCATTGGAGCCACCCAGATGCCCCTTCTGCCCAGTTTTTAACTGGATTGTGTTTTTTGATATTGAGTGGTATGAGTTCTAATGTGAATGTTGGTATACTTGATATTGTCCAGAAGTCCCTTACACTATCCAGTTTTAAAATTATTTTTTCTCTTTGCTGTTCAGTTTGGCTTATTTTCACTATCCTGACTTCCATATCACTGATCCATTTTTCTGTATCATCTGATCTGTTGTTTATTCCCTCTAGTGTATTTATCGTTTCTGTTATTGCAATCTTCAGCTCTGGTTGGTGCTTTCTTATATTTTCTATCTCTTTGTTGAAATTCTCACTGTGTTCATTCATTCTTCTCCTGAGTTTGGTAAGCATTTTTATGACTATTACTATGAACTCTTTATCAGGTAGATTGCTTACTCCATTTCATTAAGTTCTTTTACCAAGATTTTGTCTTGTTCTTTCACTCAGAACATATTCCTCTCTCTCTTCATTTGCCTAACTGTCCGTGTTTGTTACTAAGTATTAAGTAGTTGAGCTCCTTTTCCTGGTCTTGAAGGAGTGGCCTTATGTAGGTGTTGTCTTGTGGAGCCCAGAAGTGCATATCCTCCTGGTCACCAGAACCAGGTGTTCCAGGAGTATCCCCTGTGTAGGCTATGTGCACCCTACTGTTGTGGTGGGGACATGACTGTTGTGGGCATGTGGTAGGTGGGAGTGGCCCCTGGCCCAACTGGTCGGGATGCCTGGCTCTGACTGCTGCAGGTACACGGTGGGTGGGGTTATTGTCTTGTCAGCTCCAAGGCCTGACCAAGGCACATGTTGTTTGATGCCCTTTATGGGGCATGCCCTCTGACATTAGCAGTCTAGATAGAGGATTCCAAAATGGCGTTCACCAATGCCAGGATCAGCATGGCAGAACAAGATAGTAAAAATGGCTGCCTCCAGTGTCTAAGTTCCTGGGGGAAGAGAGGCTTAGCTCTCTCCTGTTCTTGCACTGGTTTCCATGTCAAGTGAGTCAGCACCTGAGCCTTTTAAGAGTAGGTTTTTCTGTTACTATGGTTCCATAGTTTTCCTGGACATATTCTTTATCAGTTTTCAGAGGTTAGGTATTTTGGGGACTCATATCTCCTGTGCAGAATCTAAGGGTTAAGTTGCATGATGTGGAGCTCACATCTTTCACTCCTCAGGATAAAGCTCTATACCTTTGAGATCCCTCCTAAACATGGAGTGCTGTGCCTGGGGTGTGGTTTTATCCCTTAGCAAGACTGTATCTCTGCCTCTTCTACCCATTTTGTTGATGTTGCTTATTGCAGGGGCTCTGTTCATCCAATTTCTTGATCCCCTTCAGAAGGAATTATTCCATATGCAGTTGTAGATTTGTTATGTCCATGGGAGGGATGAGATCAGCATCTTCCTAGGCCATCTTGAATTCTCCCGAGAATCCTATTTTTTGGAATTCTTAATCTCAGGAAACAAACTGAGGGTTGCTGCAATGGTGGGGGGTGGGAGGGATGGGGAGGCTGGGTGGTAGACATTGGGGAGGGTTATGTGCAATGGTGAGTGCTGTGAAGTGTGTAAGACTGATGAATCACAGACCTGTACCTCTGAAACAAATAATACATTATATGTTAAAAAAAAAAAAAAAGATAGCAGGAAGGGATAAATAAAGGGGGGGAAATCGAAGGGGGA